GGTTGAGTTCAGTTCGTTGACTTTGGTTTGTTTTGAATTTCGCGCAGAGCTACACGAGGGCTATCTGCGCTAGCCGTCTCTAATTTAACAGTGAAAGACTAGACGGAAGGTAGCTAATCATCACCACCCACCTCCAATTCTTGGGCTACTCTTTTACCAACGAATAGTGGAATTGACTGTTACATTACAACGCCCCCACGGCTGAAAGGGCGAGCAGGTTTGACGGAATGGGGATTCAAACTCGCGATTCGCAGATTGAAAGTCGGGCGCCCTCTAACCACCTGGCCATGTCAGGCCTCGTTGACCCCCTTAATGTAGCATTATTAGAGAATGGGGGATAGGGAATCAAGTTCCTTCCAAGTAGTCTAGCATTTTCCTTTAATTTATACACATCCCACTATGTGTCGCACACTCTAAAAATAAACTTCACTAACATCCTAGACAGTTATTGTGAGATCTGTCATGTACGGGTATAACAATCTATTCAAATTTAAGGTGGCGTTGTACAGGTAAGCTAGGCCACGCTAGGAATACTGTAAAACGTGACCACTACTAACTATTGGTTTAACACCACTAGGGGAAACGCTAGTATCATTTTATTTAGATTTGTTTGTTTGTTTTTGAATTTCGCGCAAAGCTACACGAGGGCTATCTGCGCTAGCCGTTCCTAATTTAGCAGTGTAAGACTAGAGGGAAGACAGCTAGTCATCACCACCCACCGCCAACTCTTGAGGCTACTCTTTTACCAACGAATAGTGGGATTGACCTTCACATTATAACGCCCCCACGGCTGAAAAGGCGAGCATGTTTGGTGTGACGTGGATTCGAACCCGCGACCCGCAGATTGCGAGTCGAGCGCCCTAACCACCTGGCCATTTATTTTAGAATAACTTAACACCGACTATCTAAAACCATCGCCATTTTATAACTTAACTCCGACAATCTAAAGCCATCGCCATTTTATAACTTAACCCCGACAATCTAAAGCCATCGCCATTTTATAACTTAACCCCGACAATCTAAAGCCATCGCCATTTTATAACTTAACTCCGACAATCTAAAGCCATCGCCATTTTATAACTTAACCCCGACAATCTAAAGCCATCGCCATTTTATAACTTAACCCCGACAATCTAAAGCCATCGCCATTTTATAACTTAACCCCGGCAATCTAAAGCCACCGCCATTTTATAACTTAACCCCGACAATCTAAAGCCATCGCTATTTTTCACTGGTTTTATGACGAGACACTCGTAACTCGTAGCACAAGCTTTACTTTACAATCTTGTTTTATAAACTCCAATCCCTCGCTGGGACAGCGGTAAGGCTACGGGATTTACAACGCTAAAATCAGCGGTTCTATTCCCCTCGGTGGACACAGCAGATAGCCCGATGTGCTTTTGCTATATTAAAAACACAAACACGCACTTATCAAGATAAATAATTTAGTTTTGGTCTTACCTTTTAAAAAAAAACCCAACAATTTCTGTATTTTAGCGTAGTGTATTTTCTAATTGTTAACTATTTCTTACAATATAACATTTTAACTATAATGTAATTGTATTATAACAACCATAACTCAGGCGGCGTAGTTGATAATTACGATCTTTCACAGACTGTGAAAAAATTTCATACTTGTGTACTTCTGGAGCGATGGTCGTCAAAAGAGTGTAGTTTCCTAAACATCCGTCCACAGAGACTGGAGCCCTGGGTATCATCGGCTTGTTGAAAAAAGCACCAAACCCAATCCAGAAAGAGATGGCCAGGCCACAAAGTAATCCACCACCAGCCCCCTAGTGACAAAATAAACCAGAAAATAGTAATTAAATGAAAAAATAGCAGCACTGGAAATAAAAATTAAGATGACAAAATTTCAATATAATACAGTATTACTTTTACTTACTATATTTTAAGTGCAAAGCTACACAATGGGCTGTTTGTATGCGCTATGCCAAACATAAGGATCGAACCTTGAATGTTAGCATTATAAGCCCTCAACTTTATAGCTGAGCCACAGGTGGAATACTTTAGTACTATATTTGTATTATTAAATAAAAATCGTTTCACGATTTATTCGAATGATGTTCATTAGATGACCAGATCTAACTTTTATACTTGATGACGTAAGATCTTCTGTAAGAATACGGTCCCTTGATTGGTCATAAGTAAGTTTACGGACTTACAATGCTAAAATACAAGGTTCGATTCACCAGAGCGTATCAAAATCAACAGCATCGAAATTGTATGAATAAGAACACCAAAAGTGTTTGTGTTTAAAATTCTGTTTTTTTTTAATACACAACGGGCTATATGTGCTGTGCCCACCACAGGTATTGAAATCCGGATTTTAGCGTTATAAGCCTTCAGACTTACCACTGAACCAGTTGTTTAAAGTTCTGTAAATGAACAATGCATTAACTTCACACGTTTGAAAGTTTTAATTTCTTAACGTTTATTTTTTTCTTTGTACCTTAAAATGAAACCTGGATATAACACTACATCATGACCCTGAGGTTAAATCGTTTTATTGACAGGTCAGTCTTTATAGTTCTCCTATATATAGTCATAAAATTTTTTTTTTTCAAAATCTTTACTTGAATTTAGTCCTCACTAAGTATACTAATACAGTAATTCGTTTTTTTGTATAAATAACGAAATTATCTTAATATTAATTTATCGCATAACTCTTAGAATACACATTCAACACTTATTGCGTTTTACTATTTTAATTTTTACAGATAAAAATACTTTTGTTGCGTCATTATTTCTAAATTTGATAATACAATAACGAAAAAAAAAAAAACAACCGGTCGAGTAAAAAGAAAACCCCGTGTTTAAAATGATAATATCTTAAAAACTAGGCTGTCTGGTAGAGCTCTAGATTTCGGAACCAGATTCGAATCCGTGCGATACCACAAAAAATTCCCGACAATATAAGCTGAGAGGGCGTTATAAGTGTGACAATCAATCTGGGGCTCTGCTAACTGCCTTTCCTATGGTTATCACTTCAAAATTAGGAACGACGCTAGATAGCTTTAGTATGGTTTTGCACAAATAAAAAACTATAAAAAAACTACTTGTTCCAGGGCAACAAGATTTCACGAGATGTACGTTGAGGATCACGAGATTTATTATAGTGAATATCTAAATTGCTTTGTTTTCCCTTCTCTCATTTCTCTCTCTCTCTCTTTTCAAGAATACGAGATTGGTGATTTAATTAAATACGTGCTGGTGTGCAGGATATTGTGAGGATTAATGAACATCGTCACGAAAAGTTTCATTTAGGGTTAGGGTTAGGCTTCACATGCTGATCGAGTTTGTTTGTTTGAATGGGTATCGAAACCCGGTTTTTAGCGTTGTAAATCCGCAGACATACCGCTGTGCCACTGGGGGGGGGGCTGTTGATCGAGAACCACGTGAAGCATATTGAATACCTTCTGTGGGAGTTTTTGAAACACCCTGTACCAGGTCTAAAATTTCCCGAATTACCTTACGATCCTCATTGTGCCTCTGGTGAAATTGAGTTCCTCCCGAGTACAAGTTGTTTTGAAAACATATTCATTTTCAAATACGGGGTTTTCTTTATAATCATCTTGTACATCGTTAAACAACCGTCCATTAAACAATGTAACTGATATTAAATAGATCAACCTACCTTAGTATTAGACCAAGGAAAAAACATGCCGAGAGTGAGAAGACCAAGAAGTGGGCCTCCTATCATTCCTCTGATACTCAGCGCCGCCTAGGGATGAAACGTAATATTACAAACATGCATAGAAATAAACCGAATAACACGAAAATAAACGCTGAAAACGTTTTTTTTAACACTTGTGACAAAACAAGAATCAATACTGCTCATAGAGTTACATATTCTCTCTATACAAGTAACATGAATTGATCTATTTAAAGAAAAAGAAACACCCAAACATTTTAATCATTAGGTATTAGCTTAAGTGAACCAAACCAAGCTATCATTAAACAAAAGAAAGATAAAACATGAAACGTTGGTTAGTATAGTTAATCACTTCTGCGAAGCGGATAAAGTGGCGATTAGAATTATCTGATAATTAATCAACATTCCAATACCTCAGTAAAGTATGTACTACTTATCGCTGACGTGTAATCGTCCGAAATACTCAGAAAAATCAGGTGAATTTTTGTTTATTTGATGAAGCTACACAATGGGTTATTTATGTTGTGCCCACCACGGGTATCGAAATCAGACTTTAGGGTGGGTGGTGATGACTAACTACCTTCCCTCTAGTCTTTCATTACTAAATTAGGGACGACTAGCGCAGATAGCCCTCGTGTAGCTTTGCTTGAAATTCAATACAAACCAAACCAAAACCTCCAGTGGCTCAGAGACGAGTCTCAGGGCTTATAACGGCCAACTCTTGGGCTACTCTTTTACCAACGAATAGTGGGATTGACCATCGCATTATAACACCCCAACGGCTTAAAGGGCGAGCATGTTTAGTGGGACGGGGATTCGAACCACCTGCCCATGCCGGGCCCCACTGGGGAACAATAAGTTTGTATTGTTAACCATAAAGCTACAGAATGGGCTATATGTGTTGTGCCCACCGCGAGTATTAACACCCGGGTTTTAGCATTATAAGCCTTCAGACTTACCGCTGAACTACTGGCGGACAAATCAGGTAAAACTGAGGGACAGAAGTCAAACAGTAATATTTCCTTTTGTTTGAAGTTATTTGTAAGTTGTTATTTGTGAATACCGTTTATTATATGTTCCTGCTTTTTGCAATGCAAATTGAATCTATAACAAGAAAAGCTCTCTGACAGATATACATCAGTTTCTGTGTTGTGGCAAGGTTACGCAGTCAGGCTTGAATGTATATTGTAGTAATTTAGCAAAATTATAACGCGCGTCTCCCTGTTTGTTATTTACAGGTAGAGAGTCTGAGTCATGCATACTTCAATCCTATTGTTTATCTTCAATCACTGGAAAGAGATTAGCAAGAGGTGGACGTCTTTTAAATGTGATTATGTATGCAAATAGGGGACAGAAATGTTTTGGAATCTATGACTTGCTGGAAGGGCTGAAGAGAGGTAACAGCTTTTATGTACGAAATATTAAAACAACTTAATAGTGATCCACACACTGATGCTTGTTTGTTTTCAGCGCAAGGCTATACAACGGACCACCTGCACTATGTCCACTGCAAGGAATCAAACCTCGGTTTTTAGTGTTGTAAGTCTGAAAACTGACTGCACTGATGCTTGTTTGTTTTCAGCGCAAGGCTACACAACGGACCACCTGCACGCAGTCCATTGCAAGGAATCAAACCTCGGATTTTAGTGTTGTAAATCCGTAAACTGACTGCTGACCCACTGGCGGCTT